ATGCCAAGCATTCCAGAAAGGCATGGATAGGGGAAGGGTGAGGCTGGTGGTGCTGCCAGGAGGGCTGTGGGGAGGCAAAGGGCAGGTGTGGGAAGGCCCTGGGCAAGCACAGATATAAAACCTGGTGGAGAACCAGCAAGCCGGACTGCAGAGCATGCACTTGCTTGCTCCTTCAAGGTCAAGTGAATCTGATAGAACACTGTGATGGAGAGGTTATCAAACTGGGTTAGACACAGGGGTAAGGAAGGGGAGAAGGCTCAGAGATAAGCACAGAGATGCACGGCTTTGCACTAGTTGAGGCAGAAGCATTGCTAGTGACATCATGTGACATCCCTGCTGGCCCAGCTGTCATTAGTCTGGAATGCTACCTGCTGTCTCTGGCCGGTTTAAGCGCCACTGTGGCGGGTTCTCCTCACCCTACCTGTGCAGACTTTTTCTGGGCACAGATGTTCAGATGTCCTGTGGTCAACTTCCACTGGTGATAGCATTTCATTAGAGCTCAGATTCATAATGACTCTTAGTGTGAGAAAAGGATGGTGACTATTGCCATCTGCATATCCAAGCACACACACTGCCTCACACATGCATCAAATGAAGAGCTGCTTCTTTTTTTTTTCATTTATTCATATGTGCATACACTGTTTGGGTCATTTCTCCCCCCTACCTCCCACTCCCTCCCTTTCTCCCTACCCCCTCCCAATGAAGAGCTTCTTAAAGAAATAGTGCACACTGCACCTAAAGGCAAAACACAGTGGCACACAAAAATATGCACCAAGGGTTGGAGAAGTGGCTCAAGTGGTAAAGCTCCTGCCTGGCAAGCGTGAGACCCCAAGTTCAAACCCCAGTACCACCAAAAAACATCTATATCTATATCTATATCTATATCTATATCTATATCTAGCTCCATCAGCTTGAAGAATACCTAGATGAAATAGGTAGTTAGAAGAGGTATGCCATGTAGAGATGCACAGTGGGCAGGACTCTGCTGTGACACTTCAATTTTAAGTACTTTAAGCAGAGGTTATGGTAATAGGGTGAGGCGAGTCAAGGAGAAGAACTCATATCCTTGAAATAGACATTGGGTGGGGGCCATGTTTCCTAGATGGCCAGCATCATCTCGCCCCATCTCAGATGCTACCCACACTATAGCACCGGCACCCATGTCACTTTCTATTACTTTGCCTTTATGTTGGTTCATAGGATTTATTTCCATGTTGCACTTCATAATATATCTGTCCATCTGCACTGATTTCATGCTATTTGTATTCTTTCCTTTCTTTGGCTCTATGAGAGCACAATTTGAGTTGGCTAATATATATATATATTTAAGGTAGAAAAAAGTGCAGTTGGACTTGTCCAATAAAAACTACAAAGCATTGCTGAAAGAAATTTAAAAAGACAGAAATAAATAAAAACTAGCTCAGTGTCATAGCTTAGAAGACTGGACATTAAAATGTCACCATCTCCAAAGCAATCTACAGATACAATGAAACACCTATCAAAATCCCAATGAGGCATCTTCCAAAGATGGAAAAACCCATCCCGATGGAAGATGATGTGTGAAGTATGTGGGTTGCTCTGGCTCCTGGTTTCTCCCAGGTTTGTCTCAGCAACCGCATCTCATTCAGCCCCCTGTTCCTCTCAGAGAGGAATTCTATAGCCACCCACCTTCTTTGCTCTGTTTGTTAACTTATACTCATTTAACCGACTGACTGAACTAGTTGACTGACCTCATAGGAAGAATTTATGTTATTTGTCTATTTGTTTTTTACTTCTCTTCCTTTTGTAGAATGTAAGCATGAGATTAGGGGCTTTGATTGTTATTATTTTTATTTTTATATTTTGGCAGAATTGGGGCTTGAACTCAGGGGTCACACTTGCTAAGCAGGCACTTTACCACTTGAGCACACTCCCAGCACTTTTTGGTTCAGTTATGTTTCAAATAGGGTCTTGTGCTTTTGCTGGGCTGTCCTGGACAACAGTCTTCCTACCTAAACCACCTCTGTAGCTGGAAACACAGGTGTGCTACCATGTCTAGTGTATTTGTTGAGCTGGCGGGGGAGGGTCTTACTGAACTTTTTGCCCAGGTTGGCCTTGAACCTTGATCTTCCCAATCTCTGTCTCCTGAGGAGCAGGGATTATAAGCATGTACCACTGAGCCCAGCCTTATTTTTTGTTCCTTTATAAAAGCTATTTATTGATTTTAATAACTACTATCACTGCTTTGTCTCCAAATCCTCAGCCCTTTCCAACATGGGAAGAGCCTGCAAGATGGAGTCCATCTCCATCTTGGGCTCCAGTTGTGGTTCTGCCATTTCCCAGTCCTGTGACTTTGACTTTGGGCAAATCATTTCACCCTTCATATTCCTCAAGATTCACATTAAAATTGAATTCCTATTTTCTTTAAACTCATAGATTTATTGACAGCTTTTGTCAAAATGACCCTGTCATTTATTTAGATAACGTACATTAGAAACCATCCTTGTACCCTTAGAAACTAGATCTTACTGATATCAATGATGAATACCTGTGTGATATTTTGTCACTTTTACCCTATTCAGCTAGTTTCTCAGGCCCGTCTTTGCACTTCCTGGCCTTGTAGTCTTCCTGCCAGTCAGGGTGTAATATTAAATATCTCATTGGCCGTATGACCTGTATCATAAATGCCCTCCACCTGCCATTGTCTCCAAACCTTGACAGCTCTTCTCATCGATGTCTTTAGTTTTTCCGAGCTACATTAAAAAAAAATAAGCCAGGTGCAGGTGGCTCACCCCTGTAATTGTAGCTACTCAGGAGGCAAAGATCAGGAGGATCGTGGTTTGAAGCCAGCCCGGGCAAATAGTTTGTGAGACCCTATCTTGAAAGAACACACCACAAAAAAGGGCTGGTGGAATGGCTCAAGGTGTAGGCCCTGAGTTCAAGCCCCAATACTGGGAAAAAAAAATCTATATCCTTTGCTTTGACATCGCCCTGGGTTCAAATCTATACTTCCCATGAGGCCAGTTTCCTTCCCAGTGGTATCTGCTGGTTGAGGTCACTCCTTTGTCTCCAAGTCCTCAGCCCTGCCTCTAGCTTCAATTGTCACACATCCTGTTTGGCTTCCAAGGAAAAAGCTTAAGGAAGGCTAGTAGGGTCAAGGTTTACTGGAACTCTTTTTATTTCATTTTTTGAGACAGGGTCTCATTATGTAGCCCTGGGCATCTTTGCACTTTCAATCCTCCTGTCTCAGCCTCCTGAGTACTGGAATTACAGGCATGTATCACCATACCTGGCTCCCCAAATTCTTTTAATCAAAGGATTTATCCTGAAGTCTGTGTTGTGACACTGTAGCAAGGGCTGAGTTTCCAAGCAGTGGACCACTGGATAGACCAGAGCTCACATTTTTTCTATTTATTGGTAGTCTAATGCATTTGACTGTACAGACTCATCTAATTAAAGACGTATTTGTCGGGCCTTTGTGGCCCGATCTTTATACACTCCTCTGATTGACTGAACAGGCTCACCTGTTTCAAGGAGGAAACGGCAGGCATGAATTGCACTATGCTCCCTTTTCATATAGGAAGAATTCTCTTGTTACCGATGATGAGTTCTGAGAGGGGAAGCGAGAGGTGATCATTTAATTAATACCATTTCAGGGTTAATTCTAAAATTGAATTTTTTTCTATTCAGGGTATTTCAAGTAAGAAGTGCACAACTTTGCTTGTTCATGATGTAGCTTTTGAGTTGCCTTAATAGATGTTGGCTTTTTTTTTTTTTTCCCCAATGTGTCTCATCCACACCTGTGAGAAGCCAAAAGCAGGGCCTGGTATTCAGGGAATCCTTTTCAAGCCCCCCTTCTCCCCACTTTCCAATTACAAGGTGACTCTAGTTACAACTGTGGGAAGATTCCAGCAGCTCTCATTCTGTTTCCAAGGAGCGAGCCCTTGTGACCAGGAGAGAGAAAGGCTTCCAACAACGTGAGATAATACCGCCCAAACAGGTTACATGTACCGTTAGCATGTCAAAGGATAGACCGTGTGTATTCTCAGGTATTACTTTGATGCCGGCTGTCTTTCCTCCAGCAAAACGAATCATCGATCCTGCGAAACAAAACTATGAAAGACATGTTCTGCAATCGCTTTTCCCTCTCATGCCTGGGGCCACGATAAATTGTATTTGGAGACGCTTTCATAGAAGCATTAGAGTTGAAGATGTTGGCCTAGAAGCGTTGGTTTCTCCGTTTCGAGGCCCTGTTCAAACTCTATCCGCGGAAATGAACTTCTTCTGTAGACGTGCATTCTGCAAATACCATTGCCATGTGTTTGCGGTCCCTGATGCAGGAAGAGGGCGGGGCCAGGCTGGGCAGGGCCTGGGCGGGGCCAGATCGGTGGGGCGGGATGGGCGGCTCTTGAGTTAGCGGTCCGAGTTAAACTAGGCGGGACTTGGTATGGGGGGCGCGGCCTGGGCGGAGCCAGCAGCCTCCTATGCGCTCTATGGCGCTTGGTTTGGGGTGGCTGGGAGGGGCGTGGCCTGGCGTGTGGGGGCGGGTCCGAGGCGGGTCAGGCGGCTTCTCAGAGGACCGTGGCATTGGCAGGGGCGTGGCTTCGGGGGGGCGTGGCATTGTGGCGGGGGCAGAGCGGCTCCTCCGCTAACGGTCCTGGCGGGCAGGCGCGTGCTCGCGGGCGGCTCCTGCAGGGCCCGGGAGGTCCGGGAGCGCGCCGCCGCCTCTGCTCCTCCTCCGCGGCGCGGGCTTCCTCTTGCGTTTCCACCTCGGCACGGGCCTGCGCCATGAGGGGCCCGCCTTGGATGTCCGCGCCGGGCCTCTCTGGGCGCCGGGGTCGGTTATGAGCAGGCGCCGGCGTTGGGGGCGGACGCGATCCCGGCGCCCGAGGACTCCCGCCATGGAGGACAGGTAACTCCGGGCCGGGCTGGGCGCGGGCCGCGTGGGGTCCCAAGACCCTGGCGGGGCGGATCGGTCTCTCTCCCTCTCCCGTGGTCACCGAGGTTCCTTTGCCTTGCAGGTGGGTCCGCGTGACGGTGCTGCCCGGCTGCGTGGGCTGCAGGACCGTGGCGGTGCCGGCGTCCGCCACCGCGCGCGACCTCAAGGAGCGCATCTGGGCCGAGACGGGCTTCCCTGTGACCGAGCAGCGGCTGTGGCGCGGCGACAGGGAGGTAGGTGGCCGTCTCCGCGTGCCTGGCGGTGGCGGTGGTTTGCATGTCTGAATCGTCACCGTGGGCACTGCAGCCCCGGGAGCCGCCATGGAAACGCCTCACCATCGCTCACACTGCCCGGTTCATGTTGTCGGTCGAACTGGAACCCTGTCACACACGGTCACCCTCGGTGTCTTGGAAGTCCCCCATCTCCACGTTTTCTTGCGCTGCTGGGGACAAACCCGGGGCCCTTGCACCTGCAAGGCAAGGGCTCCACCCCCAGCCCTGGCCCCATTTTTAAATCACAGAAATTTGGGACTGAAAAGGACCCTCAGACATAGTTTATTGTACAGCTTATTTATTTCACTAAATATCTTCACATCCTTATGTGGTAACACAGGATTTGAAAGAGTCAAACTGAGTCGAGCAGCTATACAAGGAGTGCTCTCAGAATAACCTTTCTAGCCTTGGCACAGTATCCCTAATGCACAATACAGAGCCCTTCCGGGTACTCTTGGCTTTCCATGTACCTGGGCCAGCGTTTGGTTTTTTGCCCACTTAGAGGTAGATATTGGATTAATCTGTGCTTGTGCATCTCCACAGGTGGACCAACCTTCCTTATGAGTTCCCCTAAAGTGTTTGTGTGTGTGCAGACATTGATGTCATTGAGGATCTTAGACAAAATTGAAAGCCAACTGTCACTGCTGTCTCTCTCTGTGCCTCCCCCCATCTCCTAACCTCCCTCGTGGGTCTACTTTTCTGGTTCTGTGCCCTCTTCTTTGGTTACTTCTGTGGTTCTACTTGTCCCCTAGATGTGGTCACATTCAAAGGCTCAATCATGGCTCTGACTTGCCATTGGAAGTGCTTTGCAGGTGTGTGCAAAGCCTATATGTGAGGTGGTGGCAATGGCAATGGTGGATGGTGTCTAGAGTTGGGCAGACACTGTCCTGTTAGGACATCATGTGTTGTAGACTGTAACTGTGAAGGACAAATTGAAAGGAAAGGATATACAGGAGGCTTGCTTTGTGAAAGACAGAATTAGGGAAGTTTGGTACCAAATGAATCTGGGGTCTGGAGGGTGGTATAGAACAACAAAAGACTGCCAAGGATATTCACAAGCCTGGAGTTAGACCAAGAAATAAGGGTTCAACTGGCAGAGAAACAAGTATAGAGGGTCAGCTAATTTGGAGTGAAATGTGATGATGGGTTGCTTTTATATGTGGTTAAGCTGATGGTGAGCCATGAAAGAAGCATCTAGGAGAATGTACAGAAGAGAAGTAGGTGACCCAGATCCTGGTGCTGTACTGCTGGGGTATGTAACACAGGCCAAACTCCCATGTTAGGTTCTGCTTTCTTGTTTCTTATTCTAATCAATTCTAAGGTAAGGTCTCCACTGGATAGTGAATTCAACAGGCAGCTGCAGCTCTGAGGCTGAAACTCAGGGCTCAGAGAGAGGTCAGGGCTGGAGATAGGGTTTTGGGAAGTAATCAAGCATTGTGTCTTTCGCTGTACTTGTTTAAACTGTGTTGGAATGTGATTAGCATTATCGGGCTGCTAACTGTTCTAGGAACCTTGCACATATTTCATTTAATACTCAAGAGAGCCTCCAGAGTTAGTTGTTACTAGTCCATTTTGCAAAAGAGTATAGCCAAGTTTCAGAGAGATGAAGTTATCAGGTTAGGATTTGAAGCCTTGTCTGTGTGATTCAAAAGTCTGTGAGCTTTTTACTGTTCCACACCATAGAGAATCTATCCAGGTGACTATTGGGTATAAGTAGAAAGGGCTTACACATTGAAAAACAAACTAAAAGTCAATGATGAAGCTCGGGCAAGAGGGCACATTTCTTTGTTTGATTTTTGGCCATACTGGCATTTGAACTCAGGACCTCATGCTTGCTAGGGAGGGTTTCTACCACTTGAGCCACTCCACCAAGGCTAGAGAGCACTTTCTGACTCAAAGAAGGTGGGCTTGTGCCTCCAACTGGAAAGTCTGGAATAGACTTCTTTTCTGCCTTATAACTGATCACAACTGCCCCCCTTACATTTGACTTTTGAGTCCCTCTGTGTCCTTGACAGCTGAACAAAGCAAGAGGTGTTGGGAGATCCAGAGAGCTGTTAGTATTTTATTATTAGCTGAATAATTTGTAGTGGGTTTTCAGGTAAATGAAGCTGAGTATCTCTGAGTTTTATAAGGGGAGCGTGGCTGGCAAGGCTGAGATTCAGATGGTCATATTATTTTGTAATCTCCACTTTTAAAACAAAATAAATTGAAATGGGCAGTTTGGAGATTTCATATGGTAAATATGGGAACAAATAGCACCAATATTGCTTTGTGTGGTTAGAGTAGCGAGTAGAGGCAAAGGCCTAAGCAAAACTTACAAATCTCGACCAGCTTGTAGGAGATAGGGTTGCTTAGGGCTTTGTTGTTTGATTGCTCTTTTGAACAATCACAGATTCCAGCCTATCAAAACTGCTGCTTGTCACACAGGTGTATGCTTGTCACATGCACCTGTTTAAACTAATGTGCTTCTAGTTGGTGTCTTCTTCCTTTTCAAGTTGCCTTTAAGATCTGGAAGCTTGTTCCTGCAGTTTACATTTCCTTCCTTCTACCCTTCCTGCCTTCTTTTAGTGCACCCTAGCTGTACTAAATACTAATAATCTTTGGTTTAGGCATGGCTCTCTTTTAGTAGTTAATTAGTTAATCAGCCAACAATAGAATAACCACTGATGGTGACATTATCCAGTAGAGAACTAGAACACTCTCAATGGTTTATGTTTATCTCTGTGTATCTTCTCCCCAGCTTATAGACCTGTCTCACTCCTTTACCTGTATGTGTCTATTATTCTGTTGCCTTCATGGTCTGTATGTGTGTGTAGATGTCTATACTTGCATTGCATATGTATGCGTGCGTAATCTAAATACATAACCAAACCAATATGCTGTTTACTTTCAGTTGCTTATGAACTTTCTAAGAAACTTATCATTCTGTATACAATAACTTGGAACTCACTTTTTTCATCCAGTATTACATTTTTCAATTTTTCACCTAAATTGTGTGCAATTTAGTTAATCCATTTTCATTCCTGTATAATATGCTGCTGGATGAATATGTCATATCATTGGAATTGCTTCTAAGTTTTTCTTATTGGAGACAGTTGTGCCACATTGGCTGAAGCACCTATGCCAGATATTTGCTGGTTTTCACAGGCTGGCCGAGGTGTATGACATGAATATGGTGTGTGACTGAGGACAGTGGCAGTGTGCTTTGATAAGGAAACAGCAAGGATGGTGCGAGGAAATCCGATTGCATGGTTATCAATACCATGATATGTGGACAGTCCACATTACTGAGAATGAGAGGAGCATGTTAGGTTGGAGAGACAGTGGGATGGACGTGCTGGGACCTAGAAGTTATTCACACATCACTTTGGAGAGAGATGTTCCCCCTGCACTTTTCAGCTGAACTGACTTATAGATGTGATGCTTAGTTGAGATAGGAGATGAAGAAGAGATGGTGCTGGAGGAAATGTGTCCTGGGCTGAGTCTCAGGAGCCTGGACGGATATCAGCGTGACACATCTGGTAGACTAGATGGTGGAGGATGCCCCTGCACGCTGGCAGTGAAGTGAAAGTTAGAAAGGAGAAAGGTGGTCCTTCTGGAGAGCTGTGGAGTAGTGTCCTGCAGACTGCTGACATGTCAGAGGCCACTCCATATGGAAAGATCCACAAGTGGACCCGGATGGGTGGTCCACTGCTCTGTGGACCATAGTGATATACCTGTGCTGGCTTTTATGAGAAACAAATGCTGCCAAAGGGAAAGCCAACATGAAGGCATTTCCAGGAAAGTTGATCTGAGGGGAGTTGTAGACCATAGCAGCTTCAAGGGTTGGAGGCCACTGCTCTGTCCCTTCCTTCTACACCATGCCTTTTTTCTTTTTTTTTGGTAATAACATCTGTGACAAGGTTTTTCAAAGGGCATGTCTAGGAATACTACTCTATAAGGTAAAAATACACTGCTCAAATTTAGGAAACATTACTTAGTATAATCCTTTCTAAGAAAGTTACCAGATATTTTAATATGTTAAATGCTGCTAAAACCAAATTGTTTCAGCTAATTCAAAAGCAGATTTTTTGGTTATTTTTTTTGGTGTGTGTGTCCTCTAATGTGTGTTGAGGTCCATGGAGTTATGTTCTGAACAATACACTTTGGAAGTGTTGATCAAAAAAATGATTTTTCTTGTTAAAAATGTGAATTTGGGCTGTAGGTGTAACTCAGTGATGGAGTGCTTGCCTAATATGTGCAAGGTCCTGACTGGGTTCCATTCTCAGAACTGCTCCCCCACCCCCAGAAAAAGGATAAATTCTGTTACAGCAGAAATATATGTATTTTTTTACTTGTAATTATTTAAAGAAAAATCTTTTAATCATTTAAACCCTTTAATTTTTAAGTAAGTATTTGACTAGCTTTCTGTTCTCTGGAATATATTCACTTCCCCACAGCAATTTATTTCTTGAAAAGAATGGTTGACACACATTCCTTGAATGAAAGTAAAGTTTTGATTTTACAGCATTAGAGATTATCATGCTGTTCATACATTTCATTTTTTTTCTTTTCAGTTATCTGACTGGGCCAGGATTGGAGATCTGACTTCCAAAAATTATCAACTTTTTGTAAACCTTCAATCAAGAGGCTTGAAAGGGGGAGGTACATGGTTAACTTTACCAGGAGTGTGGGCTATATTTTGTTGCATGAAAACGATGTTTTAATGCAGAAGCAGAGAGGAGAACGGTGGTTGCCAGGGGTTGGGAGAACATGGGGGTGGTGTTAGCAAAGTCTACAAAGTTTCAGTTCTGTAAAATTAATGAGACCTAGAGAGCTTAAGGATAATATAGAGCCCAATTGTGATTAGTAGTACTGAATTGTGTACTTGAAAATTTGCTAAGAAGGTAGGTCTTAAATTATGTGCTCTTCCACAAAAGGAAAAAAATTCAGAACCTAAAGGGAGTGGGAGGTGATGGGTACATTTGTGACACTGAAGGTAATGATGGTTTGATGGTTTCGTGGGTGTACACATTTCACCAAATTCATCAAGTATATATTCAATAACTATAGCTTTTGTATGTCAGTCATAGTTCAATAAAATAGTTTAAAAAAGATTGTGTTTTAAAAGTGAAATGAAATCATCTGGTGGGATGTAGCGATGGGATACTGGGATCAGAGGTAAATACCAGTATACAGTTGAGTAATGAATGGGAGAGAAGTCTTGGGAATAGTCTTGTTCAGGCTAGGTCATGGTGGATAGTTATAATAAAATTATGCAGATGAACATATACAGGTTGAACATCCCTAATCCAAATGTGCAAAATGCTCCAAAATCCAAAATTTTTTGAGTGTTGACATGATGCTACAAATACAAACTGCAACACTTCATGTTGTAGTTCAGTCAAAACATGCACACTAAATGAATTTCTTGTTTAGACTTGGGCCCCATTCCCAGGGTATTTTCATTACGTATTTGCAAATATTCTAAAATCTGAAATCTGAAATACTTCTGATTTTAGAAGCACTTCTGGTCTCTGATCTAGTTGACAAGGAGTACACAGCCTATAGAGATGATTTTATTTTTTAAAGCATGGATTACTTTTCACTTATACACAAATTTAAAGAATTACTTTCTTCTTCCCCATTCTCACTATACCCTTCTGTCACTTGACTGAAGGTGTTAGACTACTGAGCGTAGGCAAGGCTTAAGAATATTTAGACTAGAGAGCCACAGAGATGGGGACTATGGAATTTCAGAGCCATCAGAACATTGGGTGAGTTTGAAAGTATTAAGAATATGACAGGAAGAACTGACATCTTTAGCTTATTGTTTATTTGCAAGTACTGACAAGTAGCATCATTTATTTAATTTGCTTTGGAAAATAGTAACACTATCTCCTTACGCCATGCACTGTAGTTCTGATTAATAATCTTTTGTACTAGTGTATTTTTGAAGAAGTTTTTTGAAACTTAATTTATAGTTCAGTTAAAAATCTTGACATTTAATAAAAGTGAATGTGCCTTACTTTTTAGTGACTTGCATAATCAGGTAGATTTTTATACTATATGAAATCATAACTTGTAGGGTTATACGAGGTGGTATAGGCAAATCACACAGGGGTGATAAATCATGGATTTTTTTTCCTAAATAATTTAAAATGTGTTGTATATTTTAGGTCGGTTTGGCCAGACAACTCCCCCTCTGGTTGACTTCCTCAAGGACATCTTAAGAAGATATCCAGAAGGAGGACAGATCCTTAAGGTAGGGTATGTGCTGTGTTCATGTGTGGTTACTTTGATAAAAATGAGGCACAGTGAAATAACCTAGACATCTTGCTAGTGTTTAGATTTTTGAAATTTTGTCGATTTGAATGCATTTATTTACCTTCATGGCTGCAGTGCGTTGCTGGATGGGATAGGGTAGAGAATGCAGTCAGTGTGAACATGGGAGGTTTCTGGCACAGGAATGCACTGAACTGCTGCATGCTGTCACTGGGCACAGTGTTGCTCCAGGAATGGTTATACAGAACAACCAGCCAACCAAGCTTTATAGAAAGCCCATGTCAGAGGCCAGGGACTGTGCCCATTTGGTCCCTGATTTTTGGTTTGCTTTTTTGAGAGAATTTAATAGAATAGTTACTTTACTTATTTCTGTTTATGGTACATTCTTTTAGTCTGAAGGTACTTATTAAAAACAAACAAGAAATAACCATAAAATAAAGCAACAAAGGCAGATACTACAAAATTAAGATTGTGTGTAACAAGATATTTCCCTAATGAATTGTAAAGGTAGATTAATTATTATGCATTTTCTTTCTCATTAACTTATTTGGTACTTATTATCTTTAGTATCTTAGCCCTTGTTTAATTTCTAGTTCAGATGGTAAGGACTGGGTCTGTTTAACACATATTCGGATAGGCACTGATTGAAGATTGTGTTATCAAGTGACTGTAATAAGATGGGACAATTTTGATCTATCTTTCAGAGTGGGCACCAGAAGCTCACAGAAGGTTAATTTGAAAAGTATTTTTATATTAATCTATTAGTATGAGAAGAGGATGATTATGGGGCTGTCATGGAGTAGGCAGAAGTGAACAGAATAAATTCAGGATGAACATTTAGTTGTTGGTTACAGTAGTGAGGTCTCATTAGCTCAGCAGTGAGTGAGTGGGGACCTCAAGGTCCCAGCAAGGTCTGTGGCAGACAGCTAATGATCAGTGCACTTTGTCGGTATTGTAGCCAACTCAGGAGAGTCTCGGTTCATGGGGGATGTGCTAGATTTAATAGGAATGTTAAGAATCGCCTGCATCTTGACCACCACCTTTTGTGATGTTTGCTGAAACAGCAGGTTCAGGTGTTTTAGTGACTTGCCCAAGAGTAAGTGCGACATTTATGCTGCTGCTTCTCAGAACCAATTTGAAAGTTAGCTCCTGAAGGTCACAGCTCAGGGTCCCATCCCTTTTTTCGTACAACTTGTGATTGATAGTTGGAGCCTGGTGCTTAATATTTAATCTTCAGTTTTCTCCATCTCTGTATCCTAAAATGTACGTAAGTCACCGATATCCTAATGAAGACAGATCTAACCTCTACAGTGGTTGCATCAATTTTTATAGCATTGTGTTTTGCTACCTATTTAGTTCTTATGCCAATTCTCTATGTTATCATAGTACACTAATTAAAATTAGCTTGCTAACTTTTAGGGATCTTATTAGACTGAATAGAGAAAGAGTGGGGCTTAAAAAATTAAAGAGCCTATGAGAAACAAGCAGTTGGATAAATAGGGGAAGTCAGAAGCTGATAAAGTGATAAAGTTTATAAAAGGGTGTGGTTCAGATGCTCATGCTTATGTGCACTTGTGACCTGAAGATCTCAAACTTAGCTTTTCCATCCTTTGCTGTCCCTCAGTCTCTTCTTAGCTGTTTCATTTCGTATGACCCTTGTGTCACTTTTTTGCTCTGATGAAGGCTTTCTTGTTGGCGGTGCTATCATATTAGTATAAGCTCTTTTCAGCTCTTAGCCATTCCTATTTCCAATGCCGTGATCCCAGGGTTCTGGGGAGGTAGAACGGCACCTCTCCCTAAAGTCAGAAGTTCATGAGTTTGACAATACAGGGTGTTTTGTTGTGTTTCTAACCACCCATCCATTTAAAACATTAGCTCTTGGTTTGAGCTGGTCTGAGTCAGAGCTCATTCAGGAAATTACCATCTATCAGTTGTTCCTTACTTTAGACAGGATCTGGAGAATAGACTAGGGGTGATGTCTTTGGAGTTCAGTTCAAGTTTTGATGACTTTGGGCTTGGCTCTAATGACTGAATCCTATTTGCATCTGGAGCTCCCTGCTAATTGCTGAGCATGCTTTGGTGATGGTCAAGACAGGACATTTTGTTGAGGCCCTGCTGGGTGTAAATGTTACAGTTTGACCTTTCCTTTCTACATTATAGGCATCTGGCCAGCCCTACACTCATGGCCACCCACCAGACACACACTGTTATTCCCTTTAGAAAAGGACTGAGTCAGTCCTGAGCGCTAAGAGGCTTTCTTCTTAGAGCAGCAGAAAGATGTTCATGACCATCTCTCAAGAAGGCATCTTATTACGGATTCATATAGATTGGTATTATTTGGTTTTATGGTTTTTGAAGAGCATGTAAGTTTGGTAGGCACATGATAGCTGAAGGTCTGTTTTTGGAAACTGCTCAAGTGTGAATTAATGAAACTCCCACAAAGAACAATATGTGCCACTTTCAGAAATAACAATTTCTTTTGAACACAGCCTTTAGGTAAATTGTAAATAAGAGACAGAGTTGTAAGTAGTCCTGGGATTTGTATTTAAAGACTAAGTGGTAGTGACTTCAAAGGTGAATTTCAGGTACATGTAATTGGAGGTGTTTTCAGCCATATGCTCATATGTATGTAACAATTACTTTCTAGATAAAAATCACTGGAACCTAAAGATAATGATGCAAATAATGGGCTTTTATTACTGAAATATATTTACTTTTTAAATATTGTAGATAAATACACAGATGGTCAGATTACTATATTATTAAATGTAATTTTTTTTTTTTGGTGTTTTTCATGGTTAGGAATTAATTCAGAATGCAGAAGATGCTGGGGCCACAGAAGTTAAATTTTTATATGATGAAACTCAGTATGGAACGGAGACTCTTTGGTCAAAAGATATGGCACAATATCAGGGTAAGAATCAATTTGTTAGGGGCAAGTTTTATCTTTTGTACTAACAGGTGATTTTTAATGATTTACAATACTTTGTTTAATGGACAGTCTATCATTGGTACTTCTTGTAATTCAGGTGTTTTCCTCTGCTTTTGGTGGGAAGATGTCCCTGTCATTTGGTATTTTAGAAAATACAAAAAAATCTCAAAATAATAAGCCTGTTATCTATTCAGTCAACTTGTATATTATCAGTAAGATAAATGGATACCCTATGCATATAAATAACACTTTCTTGCATTTGGAAAGAAATTCTAAGAGACTACTTTTGTGTATTTTCTGCTTTGGAATGCCTTTATGCTAGGAGTAGAAGATAGATGTAAGGGGAAGAGGGAACAAGGAAAATGAAAAGAGAAATAATAAGAGAACCATAACCAGTAGGGTCATGATAGCTTACCTGTACTCTGTGAAGCACTGTGTTGAAAGGAATGTTTGTGACTTTAGTATGTCTCATATGTTGATAGGATGATTGTGAATGACTGTATAATGGTGGAAAGTTTCTGAGGAAAAGAAGGGTTAGACATATGTTCAGAGAAATGTAAGTTATATAGTTTTAAAAGAATGCTTGTGTGATTTAGAGGGTAATCATTATTGTTCATTAAATATGTAGCATTTATAGCTATTAGTCATTCTTAGATGGAATCTGTGATTTGAAAGTCACACTTTCTCTGTAGTATAAAAGAGCTGTGTAAGATGTGGAAATATCAGGAGGTTTGTATGCTTGTCCTGACTTACCATTTATAATGAGAGGATTAGCTTGTAAGTTTCTTGGCTGTATGTCTATGATTCAATGATAGCAATGCAGAAGGGCATCAATTTGGATTCAGGGACTTCATGTTGAGCCCTTGTCCTGCACAGGGCTACTACACTGCACAGTTCTACAGGCCTATGACGCCAGTGGCACCTCTGATCCTTATGTTTGCTTCTGGCCACATACAAATGGCAGTAAGGGAAAAGTCTGTCTCCCAGTTATTTGAGGATTGGATGAGATGATAGATGTGATGATGTTTATGTCTGGTGATATTCTGATGTTTAAGTGTCTACTATATGCTGTAAAGCTATAAAGGTGAGAGTAGAGAGATGCTAGAAGCATTTTGCTCCAAAATTTTGCCAAATGCCTAGGGTTTTTGCTTCTAGTCTTGACTTCCTTTTTTTTAATTAAAATATTTGAAACAGGATTATTTAGCTGAGTTGTGCATATTAAGAGGTAGGCTCTTTGAAGGCCAATTTAAAATAAAAGTGGACATAAAAAAGTAGGTGGCGATGATCTTTATATTTAATGAACATTTGTCAAGGGCCCTCTGTGCCCTTGCGCATTGGAGAACCTCTTTCTCGTCCATTCAGATGTGAACAGTCATCCTCTTGGATCACTTTTGTCCCCATATACTGGCACTTAGTGTTGCATGTGAGAGTTCTTGTGTACAACTTGTTTTCCTTCCTCCTTATATAAGATAATAAAAATCTCCAATGGTCAAACCAGGTGCACAAGAATAGGAGGTCTTACCTAGTATCACAGTTCACTAAGACTTTCAAGGATATGGCTAGGACACATAGGTGAAAGCAGCATGGAGTGGTCTGGGACCTAGACAAGGTCTGAGACCCCACTCCTTTTGTGCTGTGTTAGGATACATCCTGGCCGGGTGTAGCAGGAATGGTCTTTGAGTGATACATGCAGACATCACTTACATTGTCATAAAACACGTCCATGTTCCTCTCTGATAGTCACGAAGCTCCTGACATTGCCAAGGAAATTATGCCTCATAAATGTGTCAATTCCAGACTTACTTATAATAAGCAGCCTTCTGCAGGTATCCAATAGCTAAGGACCCTATTCCTAGGAAACACTGTGAATATGTTTGCCAGAATCTGTCATAGCACAAGGACACTGGGCTGGACCATCTCTTTCTTGAGTATTTCTTAAGTAAGGTGAGAAAAGTGATCACACGTCCCTGCTAGCTCTTTTCTTCTCAGACATTTGTTTTCCTCTCAGGATAGTTCTTCTTTTCATATCTCACTTTCAGAATCAGAAGCACCCTATTTGGATCAGGACAGATGGTGGGATATTTTCAAATTGATTTCAGTGGGGTGGGGAGAGAGACCCAGTGAGACTTGAAGTTGTGACTCCTGTGCTAATTCCAGGATGAGTATGATTGCATTGAATGGTAGTAACCTGCTCGATGACAACAAGCTTCTCCCTGCTAGATGCAGAGATTTGACAAGAATGGTGGCCTGGCCTACTTTCTCCAGATCGCTCTGCTTCTGTGGGCTGTCTTTGTCTGTCTTTGTTATGCCATGACCCTGAACAGCAAAGGGGCAAAAAAGCCCCAGTCTCAGGCCCTAGGGCAGTCCACTCACAGAAATGGTTTTCAGCTTGTTCCTTTTTTTTTTTTTTTTTTTTTTTTTTTAGGACTTGCACTGGTGGTATAAAGGTGAAACAGCAGTTTTGATACATCTGAAAACTCAAGTGGGAATGTGAAGGGGAAATTCTTTTTCATGTGAAACACTCATTTATTTGAATTTGTCAAGGAAGCATCTATTATTTTATAATTTAACAGCTGTTTAGTCAGCAGTCACACAGTGCAGGGCTGCCTGCTGGCCTTCCTGTTGGTACTGGGAAGGAAGGTAAATTTTCCGGCTGGCAGTCTGCTTGCTCTCCTGGTGATGGTTCATGGGTGTGTCCTCTGTTGGACTCTTCATTCCCTTCCGTAGGCCTTCAGATTAGGCAGATTCTTTCTAGAGCCTGGCAAGACTTCTTTCTCAGGCCTGGTGTTCTGTGCTGTGAGTTTTGTGCTCCTTCTTTCTGTGTCTTCATTGGTATTTTTTAATGGACAAGTAGAGCAAGCAGAACCACATAGTGCTTACTAGGTGCCTCTTCAAGTCAGCTGTAGTTAGGTATTGGGTAGTAACAAGATGTTTATTTACTTTAGTACTGTTCTTGCTATATTATATAAAATTTGCATATTGCATAAAAACTGATAGTGTTGTGTCATATACTCACTTGATTAGCATAGTAATATCTGGTGTTTTTGGTATCTGCTGTAGTCTGGGTGCTGTGCTGGGTCCCTCGTTTGTATTGTTTTCTCAGATTTTGACATTCCTTTGTCCTTATTGTACAGATGAGGAAACTGGGCCTGTGGTTGCAGTTGGTAATAGTCAAGCTGGTGACATCTGGTTTTGCCTGACTCTAGAGTCCTCTTTCATCTGTGTGCTGGTCTTGTCCAGAGAGTCTTTGCAGCCTTGACTAATTTCACATCCCAACATTGGCTGTTTTAAAAATAGTAGTACACCATTTTTGTAAAACAAACTAGGCCAACATCCCCATATCTGGGCTGAAATGTAAAGGAACATGAGGAGAACCTTGTGGGTGTCCAGAATCTTCACGTAGCTCATTTGCATGGTTGTTACAAGGGCCCACCACACATAAGATCTCTGTGATTTATTATGTATGCGTTATATTTAAATACCTTTTAAAGGAAAACATTGATCATCTTTAAAGAATGATGAGTAAATATAGTTGGGTATGTTCAAAGAATGTTAGTGCTTCTGAAGATAGGCCTCAAAAGTAATCTCCAAAAGTATTTGTGCAGAATTACAAATAAACTTTTTAAAGAAACTATTTTTAGAGACAGAGTGGTGTAATTCTGGAGCACTTGTTTAAACATTTGTCATGTTAATGACTTTTTAAATTATGCAAATATTACCTTACAGGAAAAAAACTCCAAAACAAAAAATGCACCATCCAGACACTTACAAAGTGATTATTAACATTACTAAAAGATTACTTTTCACTTTGTGAAATAATATGTCAGAAGTTTCTTTACATAGCAAGTGTCCTTCATACATTGCAGACAATTCCATCTACAAAAAAGTGATTTAAATATGTTATTTAAAACAGTGTTCACAAAGCATAGTATGCTGTGATTAATTCCTCATCTGTCCCATATTTTGGGTATCTAAATTCTATAATGCTCTTAATTTTTTCTTTTTGGATTTTTGGTCAGTGATAATGTATTTCTTTGGGTACAAATTTTTACCATTATTCTGTGTTTTTATTTTTGTTGTGAAGGCAATTGGAATGGTAATGCAGAATTCAGACATTGCACTCAGTTCTATTTTCTCATCAAATAGGTGGCTTTGTGTAGAGGAATCTCTTGACATAGAACTGAATGCTTTGGCGAACTTCTTGTTGAATATCTGACTGTGCATTTTAATTTTAACACCAGGGTCAGCTCTTTATGTGTACAACAATGCAGTTTTCACTCCGGAGGACTGGCACGGTATTCAAGAAATAGCAAGAAGCAGGAAAAAGGATGACCCTTTGAAGGTTGGAAGATTTGGAATCGGGTTTAATTCTGTCTATCATATAACAGGTGAGGATTTGGCTTTTCAATCTTGATAATAGAAAGTACTTTAGCCTAAATTCTGTAATTTATTTGGTTAATCTCAGAGATGATACTGTTTTAAAGACATCTTTCCCACATTCTCCTGCCAGTGACAATGAATATCTTAATAAAATATCAGTGTCTTGAATTTTCTAAAATTATCATGGTAACTATACCAAAGTTTTACTTTTTTATGTGAAGTTAAAAGTTAGTTGTCACAATATAGTGTAATATTATCATTGTATGTGATTTAAAATGTAGCTTTTGAAATACACAAAATTGTCACTATGAAAAATTGTTATACTACAAAATCTTTACAGGTCAAGTTGATTCTAATAGATTTTCTTGGACAATTTTGTAAATATTGAGGGTTAAAGAGGAAAGTGTAATATCTCACTCAATAGAGTAAGATAATGAAGATCTTTGGATTGATTCTGGTGTCTACATTTTCCTTTCAAATCAACATTCTACTCTTCTTAGATTTATAAGTATTTTACAGGTTACTTTGAAATAATGTTTTGAATCTAGAAAGAACATGAGGTTTCTGGTTGATAAATACAATAGAAAATCCTTGAAGCTCTCAATATAGACATCTGTAAGAGTATAGAATATGGCTATTTTAGCCAAGTTATGGAAACAGCCAAGATGCCCCACTACTGATGAATGATCAAGAAAATGTGGTATCTATACACAATGGAATTTTATGCAGCCATGAAGAAGAACGAAATGTTATCATTCGCTGGTAAATGGATGGAATTGGAGAACATCATTCTGAGTGAGGTTAGCCTGGCCCAAAAGACCAAAAATCGTATGTTCTCCCTCATATGTGGACATTAGATCAAGGGCAAACACAACAAGGGGATTGGACTATGATCACAAGATAAAAGCGAGAGCACACAAGGAAGGGGTAAGGATAGGTAAGACACCTAAAAAACTAGCTAGCATTTGTTGCCCTCAACGCAGAGAAACTAAAGCAGATACCTTAAAAGCAACTGAGGCCAATAGGAAAAGGGGAACAGGTACTAGAGAAAAGGTTAGATCAAGAAGAATTAACGTAGAAGGTAACACACACGCACAGGACATCAATGTGAGTCAACTCCCTGTATAGCTATCCTTATCTCAACTAGCAAAAACCCTTGGTCCTTCCTATTATTGCTTCTACTCTCTCTTCAACAAAATTAGAGATAAGGGCAAAATAGTTTCTGCTGGGTATTGAGGGGGTGGGGGGGAGAGGAAGGGGATGGGGTGGGTGGTAAGGGAGGGGGTAGGGGCAGGGGGGAGAAATGACCCAAGCATTGTATGCACATATGAATAAAAAAAAAAAAGAATATGGCTATTTTTTCAGAATCACATCTCTTAGCACTTATTGTAGTCGTGTGATAAAAATTCATTATGGGATTGTTTCTTTTTATGGTCTTGCTTGAAACTGTCTTGCAGGAGGAGAGACTAAGCAGACAGGGAGGGCTATGACTTGAAGCTTGAAGGCCATTTAACTTACCCTCTAACTGGTATAAATTAAATTAAATTGGGACTGCCCTGGGTGAGTGGAAAGCAGGGTCTTCCTAACTATAGTCAAACTTTAGTAAACTTAACTGCATTTACATTCATACTTACATATTAAAGAAGATTGCTATATTACAGTTTTATTATAAGTTAAAATATGGCTGTTGTACATAAATGTTAGTATTTATGATGCATCATGTGTTTTGTAAATGTCAGGAGGCACAGGTATGAGTTGCACAGTGTGGAGACTATTACACAAGAGTGAAGGTGATGTTAGAGCCACACTGACTGCCCAGCACCTCCATCTCTGTGTGTGTTTGTTCGCTAGCTGACAAGAGCACATTTATGTGGGACATTAGTTAGAGGGCTATTCTCTAACCTGAGCATTTGAGAAGGTCATAGGTAATGGTTTTACAGGATCAGGAGGCTCCCTGACCTGGTTTCAGTCATGGGAGTGTGCCATGCGTAATGAAGTAGGGGTGTGTGGACCCTAGACTGCACTGTGGATGGGTTTAGCCTCATAGTCGGTGGACATGAGGGTTTGATACTTCAAATACCTGAGATCTTAGGAGTTGGTACTTGTGATTGGACCTGCAGCTGCAACCACAAATATTAAGGATTGACTTTATTGGGGTTACATCTGGTATTAAGATTAGGGGCTAAAGTGTTTATGTGCAGCAAAACATGTCAGAGTCACCTGAGGATGTCCTCTCAGGCACCATGGATATAAAGTCCGATACACCTAGTGCCAGTGTTGAAATACCACTCTGTCTTTGTTTGGGAAACAGGTAATCAGTTCTGGAGCCATGTTGGACAAAACGTGTATCTTTAAGTCAGACAGTTAGGTCCAGTGTGGTGAGGTGCTTCCAGTGGGGGAAGCACTTTATCCCAGGTTGCGCACTTCTTGCTCGCTCCAGGGCCTGAGCTTGTTGAGTGACGTGGTGTGTGGAACCACCTGCAGTATGTTTTTCTCCCCATATTTTTCATAGTCTACAGTTGAATTTCAAATTTCAGGTATAGGGTGCAACTCTGTCAGCTGTGGGGGCTGAATGTAAATATCCAGATACTCCTTACGTGTTTGTTTTATGAATATTTGAGCCTGTATTTAGGTTTTTCACATTAATCCTGGAAGTTTCTGTGCCTGACAATTAATACTAGATTGACTTAAAAAAGAAATTATTATTTCTCATATTCAAAGTGTTGCAATTCCAAGCTAAGTGAGATTCGCTTTAGAATTATTTTGTGGCTCCTGCTTTTCCAAATACGATACTTTACAATTAAAGTGTAGTTAAAATTTCTGAATTGGTCATGAGGTAATTTTTTCTTTGCAGATGTTCCCTGTATCTTCAGCGGTGACCAGATTGGGATGTTAGATCCTCATCAAACACTTTTTGGCCCCCAAGAATCAGGCCAGTGTTGGAATCTCAAAGATGACAGCAAAGAAATTAGTGCACTTTCGGACCAATTTGCACCATTTGTGGGTGTTTTTGGAAGCACCAAGGAAACGTTTATAAATGGTACTTTTCCTGGAACATTTTTCCGTTTCCCTCTTCGCCTGCAACCTTCACAGCTTAGTAGCAACCTCTACAATAAGCAGAAGGTGCTCGAGTTGTTCGAATCCTTCAGGGCGGATGCAGACACAGTGCTGCTCTTTCTGAAGAGTGTGCAGGCGGTCTCCTTACATGTCCGAGAGGCAGACGGGACAGAGAAACTGGTATTTAGAGTGACTGCAAGTGAGAATGAGGCCCTGAAACATGAACGGCCGAATTCTATCAAGATTCTGGGAACTGCTATAAGTAACTATTGTAAAAAGATCCCAAGCAGCAGCATCACCTGTGTAACATATCACGTGAATATAGCTTTGGAGGACGACAGTACTGAGGGCGCTCAGAGGACATCGTGGTTGGTGTGTAACAGTGTGGGTGGGCGAGGGATTAGCAGCAAACTTGACTCTCTAGCTGATGAATTGAAATTTGTCCCAATCATAGGAATAGCCATGTCTTTATCAGGCAGAGAAGTTGAAGAAAAAGGAGCAATATCTGATTTCTCTGGAAAAGCATTTTGTTTTCTTCCTTTACCTCCTGGTGAGGAAAGCAAAACAGGGCTCCCGGTTCACATTAGTGGGTTCTTTGGCCTCACTGACAACCGCAGGAGCATAAAGTGGAGAGAGCTGGATCAGTGGAGAGACCCTGCGGCCTTGTGGAATGAACTTCTTGTTGCCAATGTTGTCCCCAGAGCTTACGCTACTCTGATCTTAGATTCCATAAAACGCCTGGAGACAGAAAAGAGCTCTGACTTCCCTTTGTCGGTGGACGTCATCTACAAGCTTTGGCCTGAAGCCAGCAAAATCAAGGCACCCTGGCGGCCCCTGTTGGGGCCTCTGTTCAGCGAGCTGTTCCAGAATGCCGTCATTTACTCCATTGGCAGTGCCTGGGTCAAGCTGGAGCAGGCACACTTCTCGGAGCTAGACGAAAGTCTGGAATACACAGCATCTGTGCTCAGCTACCTCCAGAGCTCAGGGAAGCAGGTGGCCAAGGTGCCAGGGAATGTGGCTGCTGCCATAGAGCTCAGTGCTGTGGCCTCCTCTGGCGCAGCCCCTGTGAGGAAGGTGACGCCTGCGTGGGTGCGGCAGGTGCTGAGGAAGTGCGCTCACCTGGGCAGTGCTGAAGAAAAGCTCCACCTTCTAGAGTTCGTGCTGTCCGACCATGCCTACAGCGAGCTGCTGGGGCTGGAGCTGCTACCTTTACAAAATGGAGATTTTGTCCCCTTCTCCTCATCTGTATCAGATCAAGATGTTATTTATATTACCTCAGAAGAGTATCCAAGGTAGAGATCACACTTTGCAATGCTAGTTTTACTCTTGAAGGCTCCCACCCCTCTCCACAGTTAGAGTCCTTTACTGAATCCACCAGTTAGTTATGCAGATTTTTATGGTTAGGAAGACTTTTGATGAAATACTCGGTTAAAATATTAAAGGGTACCTTTCCTATTTTTTAATGAGAAACATTCCAGTGTTTCTCAGTTAAAAAGTTACCTAAAAGCTGGGCTTGGTGGCACATGCCTGTAGTCCTTGCTGTTTGGGAGGCTAAGGCAGAAGGATCACTTGAGCCCAGAGTTCTAGGTATTTGGATTTGATGTGTTCATTATACTTTATGTAAAATAAAATTGTAGATTTAACTGGCTTGAAATTACAAGAATTCCAAGAAACCTTAGAATTGTTAGGAGATTGTAATTGCTGTGTACCTTTCATTTTCTAGGTCCCTTTTTCCAGGTCTTGAAGGAAGATTTATATTAGATTACTTGAAGCCTCACCTTCTAGCTGCTTTAAAGGAAGCTGCCCAAACCCGAGGTATTATAGTTATTTTTTTTAACTTTTTTAAAGTAAACCTCTTTACAAAAATGTAAACAGTTTTTATAAGATTTTTATTGACAATTATCCATTTTAGATTTGTAAATCAACAATTTAATATGGTTCAGCTTATAGAATTGTGTTTTATAATGTTTTAGGAGTCATTCTAGTACCTAGGTTGTACTTAAGGATCTCCTGTCATGGTCTGCTGGTGGATCTTTTATAGAGATCTCATCTCAACTGCACAATGTTTTTCTCTTTTGAGCCTCCAATCCTCAGAACTTGCAGCCTGTGTGATAATTGGGACAGAAAATGGTAGTTGAATTTCACAGAAAGGTTAAGTTTAAGGTCATCAGTTGTGTGCCTGGAGATCAGGACTTCCACCTTGTGCTCTCTGCTGGGTTTCCCACACCAGCACCCCTCCACAGTTTTATGTGGTTATTTGGAGTTTGTGTTAGACAGGATCTGCTGCATTAAACAGATCACCTTTTAAGAAATATGGACTGATGAAGACAAGAGGATCTTAGGGGCCTTTTATTGAGAGTTATTTTTAGGAAAAGACAATTTTGGGGAAAACATCAAAGTAACTTCAATACTGTCTTTCAACTTTTGCAAGCATCCTTTCCCTTATAAAACTATTGTCTGAACTTTGTCTAAGTAAGATATCGGCCAGAGAAATTTGTGCTACTGGTGAACACTGTGAAGCATATTCTTTGTGATGTGTTTTGTATAACGTGTTCTTTTGTTTTCAAGGAAAAGTTGCTAATAATTACACATCTTTATTCATTAAAACATACATGAAAGGATTTGGAATGTGGCAGGCAAATTAGATTGGACTGAAAGTGAGACTAAAAACATGAGTGTACAGCTGTTTCTTGGCACAAAGATCTGTAATTGTGAGATCATCACTTGAGACTGGGTTTCCAATATGTAGATGACACATTTAACTGTGAACTGTCATCTTTAGGAGAGCTTTTTCTGGAATCTAAGCATGAATTCCTATAACCCTGCTGTTCTTTACTGTAGTGTTTTAGAGCCCTTCCTCCTTTTTTTCCCTGTGTCCATCTCTTCCCTCTCTTTCAAATTGTGTTATATTCCTTACTTAAAAACTTTGCTCTGAAATACAAGGCTTATACAGAAAAGTGCATGTAGGCTTAGTGACAGTGTACAAACTGAGCATACCCAGGAGTAAGTCATAAGGCTGCCATCCCTAGAACCCTCTCTTGTCTTTTCCAGTCCCATCACTCAAGGGGAGCCGTGGTCCTGGCTTTTTGACAGCAGAGGGTAACTTCAATAGCCATTGTTCCTACAGAAGGAATCCTACAGTGCGTTCTTCATGGCTTGTCTACCTCAGCTTGCTTTTCTGTGCCTGAGACTCTTCCAGATGATTGCGTACAGCTGTGGATCACTCTTTCTCATTTATGTGTGATGGATTGCTTTGCAAGAGAGGATTTTTGTTGGTGACAAATCATTTCTGAGGTAGATGTGGATTTGCAAATCAGATGAAAATTATTCAGCGTCAAATCAAGTGAAGAGGTTAGAGAGCCAACAGAATAATACTGCTTTTGCTCAAGAATGTTCATATATTCTGTGATACAGAGACAGCATAGCCACACTTTTCTTTTCTAGCCCCAGGGCGAGGGGGCACACTTGGTGTTAAATTTTTAGAGGTGAGTTAAATTTATAAATTAGGTGCTTTGATATCTTTACAGAGTTGAGATTTCCCACTTTATATCTCTTTATTTTCTCATCTGCTATGTATTCTGATTAGTTATTTGGGGGTCATATCATAAATATCATGTTTTATCTCTGGTTCTTGGTTAATTTTTTTTTGACTGTTAACTAAATATTCATTCATCAAGTGTTTTTGTTTTATTTGTTGCCTATAATATGTGCTTGTGGCAGGTAGTGGTCTTCTGTTGAACCCTAGAATTAAATGGTTGTGAACTAATGCTCACGATGTAGTCACAGGTAGCACTGGGAAAATCACGGGCTTCCCTTATGTGAGTGGTTCCTGCCATGGAGGAGCCTGCTCTAACGAACTGCACATTTGCAGACTCTTTTTTTTTTTTAATTTTTATTGTTTTTGTTATTCATATGTGCATACAATGCTTGGGTCATTTCTCCCCCCTGCCCCCACCCCCTCCCTTACCACCCACTCCGCCCCCTCTCTCTCCCCCCTACTTCTCCCCCCACCCCCTCGCTACCCAGCAGAAACTATTTTGCCCTTATCTCTAATTTTGTTGAAGAGAGAGTAGAAGCAATAATAGGAAGGAACAAGGGTTTTTGCTGGTTGAGATAAGGATAGCTATACAAGTTGACTCACATTGATTTCCTGTGCGTTTGTGTTACCTTCTAGGTTAATTCTTCTTGATCTAACCTTTTCTCTAGTTCCTGGACCCCTTCTCCTATTGGTCTCAGTTGCTTTTAAGGTATCTGCTTTAGTTTCTCTGCGTTGAGGGCAACAAATTCTAGTTAATTTTTTAGGTGTTGTAGACTCTTTTTAAAGCCACCATTCAGACAGGTCATTTCACTTTCTAGAGGTGTGGCGTATATGTGGGGTATTTGTGAGAAGAGAAGCCAAGAGTATTATGTTTATGGAGCTCCCCTCACATGGTAGGAAACACCATACTGCGGACTTCTTGCTGTGAACACTGGTTGCTCCATTGTGGAGTGTGGAAAGCAGTGTGACTTTCTGTTCCTGTGGCAGGTAAAGCTGATTGCCCAGCTTTGAAAAGGCTGCTGCAGAGAATTGGAACATGTGGGTTTTTTTTTTTTTATTTCTTGCAGTGGGCTCTTGTTTCTAATTACATAGCTCAAGTTCTCTTTCTCATTGCTTGATAATTTTACCCTTACTTGTCACACATTTAAGCCCCTTTGCCAAATATCAAGTGATTGCTTGTATTTTCAGTGTTTCCTTCTGTTGTCCCTTTTTCTTTAGTAATTAAGCATTTCAGGGAAAAGAAAACAAACTTTGGCTTTGATCTCCTTGTATTTGGTCATGGTTGAGCCTTTAGAAGAGTAATCTTACTCTCACCATTGGTTGTCACTGCAAACAGATTCTTCCATTGTCATTCCACTGCACAGGCTGGGTGGGGTCCTAATGAATGATTTCTGTGTCATTAACTATAGTGGGCTCTTTTGTGACCCTTACTTGACCTCTGAAGGTCTGATAGTACTTCTCACCCCCGTCCATCTTAAACTGTTAGTGTTTATGGCACCATTCCATCATGGTTTCCTAATGCTTTGCTTGTTTCTCAGAATTTGCAAATCTCTATTCCTCATTTCACTCCCTAAATGTGGGTTAGTTTGGGGGCTCCTTCCTCAACTCTTATATTTTGTTCTTTGCCTTCTGTAAGTATATCTATTCATGTGTTGATGAACTCCATAGCATCCCAGTCTCAAGAGGAATAGCTAGTGCAATGAATGAAAACCTGGGCTTGTAGTCACAAAAATCCAGACTCAAACTGTACTCCTTTTTTTTTTTTTTGTTACTGGTACTGGGATTTGAGCTCAGTTCCTTTAGCATTTTCTAGGCAGGCACTCTACCACTTGAGTCATACATCCAGTCCTTTTGGCTTTAGTTTATTTTTCAGAGAGGGTGTTGAACTTTTGCTGGGGGGTGGGCTTGGACCTACCTCTGCCTCTAGCATAGTTGGGATCATAGGTATGATTTATCATGCTCAGCTTGTTGGTTGAGATGGAGTCTTGCTATCTTTTTTTGCCTGGGTTGGTCTCAAACTGGGATCTTCTCATCTCCATCTCCCATAAAGCTGGAATGATAGGCCAATACCACAGTGTCACTCTTATTTATTATGCGACTTTAAACAAATAACCTATTGTCTTTGAGCCTCTCTCTTTTCATCAATAACATGGTCTGCATTGATATCCTTCAATGAAGGATATATCTGAGATCTGCAGGATTTGTTTACAGGAAGGTAGGGTTGCTTTCTTATAAAGTTAATGATATGAGGGTAAGGGCTGGATAGGGGGTGACAGCTTTCACAACTTTACCAGGTAACTTGAATCCAGATTTGCATGATCACAGCAAGACAGATTATTAGAAGCTTTACTGTAGTAATTTATTCATGGCAGGTAATAACTCGAATCCTAGCACACAATAATGCTGACAAACAGCAGCTATTACGATCATAAGTCATTCACAATGTTGGTCTCTATCTTTTCCCTTAGTCTGACTCTCCTTAGAGTGCATCACCCATGCAGCTGCTCCAGAGTGAGTCCTGCATTTCTTATCTTTGTTCTGCAGCTTGCAGGCTCTGAGGATTGGTCTCTGGAAGTTTTCTGTGTCAGTTCTTTGCCTTATTCCAGTGCCACTGTGTAGCACAGATCCTTAATGTCTTGCGACATTATTGCAGTGCTCTTGGCAATGGTGTCCCTGCTTCCAGCACTCACTCTTCACCTGACTGTGTCACATACCTGATGCAGTTTCCCAGTGGATTCTGATTTTATCAGTCATGATTTAGGCTTGCTAGTATGGACGAGGTGGCTTTCCAGGACACTGAACTTCCTTGATGGTGAATGCCTATGACTGTCCATGCTATCTCAGTGGCCTGGCATCATTCGAGGTCCCTCTTCTGTGCTAGTTATGCAAGCACATGTAGGTTGATGAACATGAAAGCTCTGTTAATTTAATGAGAGCAATGAGACCAGACAGATTTGTCTCCACCATGTACCACAATGTCTACTTCAAGGTAGGTGCTTCCATGAATGTTTTATCTCTACTTTTATACATGTGTTTCTTTTGCTTAGAAAACTTTCTTTTCATCCTTCACTTTGCCCAGAAATGTGTGTGTGTGTGGGGGGGGGGTGCTGGAGATTGAACTCAGGGCCTCACATATATGAGGCAAGTATTATTACTTAGTTTTTGAGCTTTTTGAGGTCCTTACATATTCTACATATTAACCACTTGTCAAGTGTAAAACTCACAAATATTTTCTCCTATTCGGTATATTGTCTCTTTACTCTGATGATTGTTTGCT